TACTACTCTACTACTACTAGTAATATTGTTATGTCGACGACTGCCACTGCTGCTACTACTACTACTACTACTACTATTACCACTACCGCTACCGCTACCAGTGCCACTACAACAACTACTACTACTACACCTACTACCACTACTACTACTACTACTACTACTACTACTACCACTACCACTAATACTACCACTACTACTACTACTACTACTACTACTACTACTACTACTACTAGTACTACTACTACTACCACCATTACAATCACTACTGCCACCAATATTACTACTGTTATTACTACAAATGTCGCGCGCGATCGTGCCAATCGGCCCGGCTCCGAGACTGCTCCGAACGCACAAGGAGCCGAACCCCCCCAAAGGTTGCGTTTTGGACATTTCTATGCCCCGGACGCGCACACACATGTCTTTGGAGCGTGCTTGCTCTTCGGTGCTGTCAGAGAACTGGCTTGCAATCAGTTGCCATACCACGGAAGTTCCTTCTAAGATTCCTTCGAACAGGAATCTGTAAATGCTTGTTGAGGTTGCAGCCTCGATTGGCCCTGTTTTCCAAAGAAGTCCGGCCGCACCTGTTGCGCGCAGGCAAGTCCTCGCAGCTGAGCCGCATTGGGACAATCCAGGGCAGACGTGGACAATGCACCGACTGCTGTGGAAGACGTTGAACCATTTGGAAGCAAGGGGCGGGGGCAACATTGAATTGCTCGCCGTGCAGTTTGGATGGAGCTTGAGGTGATGCTGACAATTTTCCGTTTGTTGTGCTTGGCAACAAGGCAGGCCCATCGTGTCGTGCAGCAAATTCAGTCTTTTTACGCTGCGGCATGGTTGCGACGGCTATGACTTTTTAATGGACATGTGCTCCCACATTGCATGACATAGATGCCCCATGAGAGCAGTATTGATATCCACACTTTGCGGTGAGAGGCCGACCTCGAGAGCAAGCGCAAGGCGCGGAAGCGGAAATCATGTGCGTGTAACTCCAGTGCTTTTAAGGGGAAGGGTGAGGCTGGCTCCCCAAAGCGGGTGGTTCCCTTGGAATTCTCTTGAGCCCCACCCCCAAAAAAAGAGATACACCTCTCCGCATCCGAAGAACCAATTCCGGCACTTGACGGCAAAACATCGCATCCAAGTCTGAGATCGAGTTTGCAGGTGACTGCCGCAAGAGCCACGCAGTGGTGCAAGTCGAAGAACACCATTCCGTGCCCGCAAGAGCAGAGATCCGGGAGTTTGAATTTGGTCTTGTCTCAAAATAGGGGAACCCCGAAATTTGTGGTTTTCCGTGTGGGTTTCCTTTAATGCCGCAATAAAGGGGCACCCTCAAGCAAGACACGTCCGTTTCTTCTCCTCGAGATTTCCTTCTGTGCCAAAGCGCGGGTGAGATGAGCGTGCTGATAGGTATCATGAGACGAGTGCTGCCACTGCGCAGAATGTGGAGGCAAAGCTCTTGGCGTGCCTGTGCCTTTGCACCGTCACCAGTTGTGCCACACAGCCTGATATGGATTTGATATGGATTTGTTAAATTAGACGAGCCCCTACAATGGTTGGCTTCCCGTCTTCCAGAAAAAAGAAAGACACCAGCGGCACCGTCAAAACAAGACGCTCAGATTGTACCTGTGCCGCAGGCAGCCTTTCAGGAGATTGCGCGACGAGCGTTGAAGCAGGAACACACTGAGGACCCCATGTACCTCCGGCTTGGGCTTTGGCAAGAGCATGGTTCGCAGTGGCAAGAGCGTTAGATCCAAACAGTTGTGCTATCGCGGGAGCACTCCCTGGTTGAATGCGAGCTTTCAGGATGGATTTTTTGACTTCGCACTCATACACATCTTTGTGCGAGTGACCATGCAGTTCGCCAGATATCTTCCAGAGACCCTGACCCTGAATGCCAACCAGAACATCTCCAACAACCGACCCATGGGGTGCGGCCGCAGCGTTTGTTTTCAGCTTGACACTGTCGCCAAAAACGGTGCCCTGAATGGCTTGACACTGGACATGAGGCATGAGCCATCGCACCGAAAATTTAACGCGGCGGCGTTTTTTGTTTCCGAGTGCCCCTAACTTCTTGGATCCAAAGGTGGACCGGTTGTGCATGCCCAGGCCGGATTGCGCCTGCTGAGTTTGGACCATGGCCTACATTGGATTCTGGAAGGCGGGGTAAGGATTCAGGACCCAAACAAATTTGGCCGTCAACCGTCCCGGCCCCCGTTTCCGAGAGAGGAATACAAATATAGCATGTGCAGTGCAATCTTGTTGCCGATCCAGAATTTGGAACTTCCGTGATTGGTTCACTTTGACAGGAAAATCAAACAACAGACACAGCGATAGTCGAGCGATCGAGCTCCAGGTCGAGATGGGACACAAACCGCTCAAAGAGCTCGGTGGCATCCCTTGGATTTTCCGGCTAGCCGCGCCTGGCGGTTGATGGGTCTGACGCCGCGATCAGGGCCAGGGTGGCACGGTTTGGCTCGACATTGGGTTGACTTAGTTGCGTCCACACATCTACCAAATGACTCGAGACGAACCTTGGGGTGTTCCAAGTCACCCTGCGGGGCGCAGTACAGGCTCCGTAGGGGCACTGCCTGCGATCACGTGAGTGGAGCTTTTGTTCCTCAAGCTGAGCTCTATTTGGACAAGTCGCAAACAAAAACAAGAACAAGTAGCACCAAGCTGCAGCGGAAGGTCGCGGAAGGGTTTTGGTCGGAAGCTCGCGGAAGGGGCCGGGTTCTGCTTGTTTGAAGTTCGCTTTGTCATGTCCCTGAAGAATAGCATGCTGAATGTCACACAAAAGCAGCGCATTCAGGTCGAAGTGCATTCATGAGCTCTACTTGCCTGTGAACAACAGCAGCAGCAGCAGCAGCAGCAGCAGCAGCAGCAGCAACAGTTTTTCTTTGACATGTGCCAGCTGGTTTTTGCATTGAAAGATGCTTACACCAAGCCCAAAGCGATCACTTAAGAAAGCAAACGCGATCGCCGTAGCAGCCTTTCACCCTTCCAACTGCCGAAGCTTCGAAGGTTTGTCCATTCAATTTTGGAGGCACCACTCACGTGGGTCGCACGGCCGGACGGGCTGGGGCGACTTGAGGAAGCTGAGCAACAAAAGCATGACAGAAGCCAGTCTTCAATCGCCCAGGAATTAGCAGAGAGATGGAGAGAATGCTGCTTAGAGCCTGTCAGTCAGGACCTAGGCAGAGTTTCACCACGAGGAGCAGAGGTTTTAGGCGTGTGAGAGAAGAGGCTGTGCACGGAGGTAAGGCTCCTCATGTTTTGCAGTGGCAAGATCCAGAGCGAGAGAAAACATGAGCTGAACATGAAATTTTATGCCGATTTTGCTTCCTCTTCGACCACACCTGCTTTGACGCAAGGATGGCCGATCACTGGTGGACATGAAAGTTGTTTGATCAGCTGTCAGTTACCCGAAGGCATTTCTTTTCTTACACGTGCTCGCATGCTCGCGTGACAGGTCGGCTCAGCGCTTTTTTCGGGCACTCCGAAGCTCCTCCGTTCGTCATGGGCTGCCACTCCAGCAAGCCGAGCCATGCCGCTGCCTGGGCCCCGAAGCGGGAAGCGGCGCGGCCCGGCCCTCAACAGCGGCGCCCTGAGGCGGCCAAGACCTTGCTGAACAGCGCGAAGCCGAAGGCCGGTGCCAACGGAACCGGTGGATCCTAAGCCGAGATGCAAAGGGAAGCACGCACCGAAGATGTACGTTGCCGTTTGCCTTTGGCCTCCAAAAGGTCAGCTCGTCTGACGAATCAAGAAAGGAAGACGCGTCCGTGACATGGAATAAGGGCTTCAAAATGGCATTGTTCCGTCCCAATGAAAACAAAAAACCCACGGAACATGTTGAGCTGACATGTCCCAACCACTGCTGCATTTGCGCATATGCGCTCATTTTGATTGAACGACGACTGTCGTGGTGACGCCAGGGCAACCAGTCTCGCGCTCAGGAATCTCAGGAGAATGCAGAGAACAAAAGGCAAAGATGCACACGGCAAATCGTGCACTTGACAACTTGAGACTTCCATGGCTGTGGCCTAGAATACTCAAACAACCAGCCACTCTTTCCGAGCGAATGAAACGCAACACAGAAGCTCACGCAGATTTCACTCCTGCCCAATCAGAGACTCTGCAACACGCCCAGCATGCCAATCACATGCTGCTGAATTGTGTGTGAGGGTAGGTGTGATTGAGGGGTTGGTTCGCAGCTGGTGTAGGCATGGTTGGGCACGGTTTAGGCTTGGTTTGGGCTAGGTTTGGTTCAGGGTTAGTTTAGGTTGGCTTAGAGTTGCTTTAGGTTGGTTTAGTGTTGGTTTAGTGATGGTTTAGGTTGGGGTGGCATTGGTTTAGGGATTGGGGTTCGTGTAGGAATGGTTGCATGGCGTGTGCCTTCTTCTGATGCTCAAGATTTTGCTGCAGAGTCCCCTACGTTGGGATCCATGGAGATGTCCGGGCCAAATGAAAGGAGCCAGTTCCCAATTTGGCCTCTTTCTACCGGGTTCCAACACCAGGAAGCCGAAAGCCCATTTTTGGCATTAAAATGTCCTTGGAGATACACGCATGTTTTCACGCGAGGCGGCAGGAGGACTGCCTGGGCGCAGGGAGACGAGAACGCAAACCCGAAAGCCAATTTTTAGGGGATCCACTCATGTCCAATTCTTGCGTTGCCCCGATGTGGATTTCCAGGGCCCACGATGGCCGTTTGGATCATGGATGAAGCCCAACGAATGGCAAAATCTGAAGTTCAACTGGTGCGAGGTGGCTTGTGTCCGTGGTGCGTGCCCGCGCTAGGACAGGCCAGTGGCCAAAGTCACCTCGGAAGCTCAGGTGATGCAGTACACACCCACGGAGGACCCGCCGTCTCTGACATTCGCAAAACAGACACAGCATGTGTCGTATGGCGAGCTCAAGGGGCAAAGCAAGCGATGAAGATCCTTTCTCTGGAAGTCCCCTTTAGATGTTTGGCCTCCTTAGGCCAACTGAATCCCAAAAGGGTAGCCTCAATCGGCTGAGAATTTGAATGGGCTAGAACTTCCAATTTTTCCAAAGGGTCCCTAAGCGGTCCCTAACAAAGTTTCGCTCCCAAACAAGAATCAGAGATGGTTCAGACAGGTCGCCTCTGAGCATTTCCCTGGCACATTTTGCCATGCAGTGGCATGTCTATTCCAGGGGGCGGAAAGGCAGAGCAGGGCGTGGCTGGAAAGGGCCAACCTGCTGCCCCAGTGCATTCTCCGAAAGGTTTGTTTAGTGAGCGCCTGTGGTGTTTGGAAACAAAATATGGCTGTGGGTCAAAACCAATGGTACTATTTTGGGGTAGGTGCACCACCCATTTTAGTCTATTTTAGTGGGATTGGGATGTTCATTGGGGGTACGATTTGGATTTTGACCCATGGCCATATGTGTGGCATGGTTGCAGTGTTTGCTAGTGTGGTCAGCTGGCTTGTTCAAGTGAATGCGGCCCAGTGTGGGAGATATGTTGAACCGGCCAGGAAGAAGATGAAGAGCCGGAAGAGAAGCGCTGCGGCCCAGTATGCCTACTTGGACACAGATACATGCTTCAAGTGGGTGTGTCGTTGTTAGGGCCCCCCGTCCCCTCAAAATAAACGTGGTTGTCCTCTTGGTTTTCCTTTCAAACCACCCTAGTGTTGTTCTCAGTTTGCTCGTTCTTTTGAGGACCTGGGCAAAGCTCTTGCAAGAGGCATATGAGCAACGCTTCATATATTCGGTCATCTAGCAAAGGAGAAGACATTAAGCAGTCTTAGCCAAACACCACCTGGCGCTGGGTGGTTGGCTCAATTCCGGTACTCCACTTACTGAGCAACCCAAAAGGGTGCCCTGTGCTATGGCGTGCAATTTGGCAGCCGAGAAAGGGTACACCCTGTAAATCATCGTCAATCAATCTGCTCTGTTGCAATGACCACAGGACAGGGTGACGGATACGCGTGGATGCGTTTCATATGTGTGGTGCTGCTGGTGCGGTTGATACTCGCTTGCCGTGGCCGGCATGTCGGTCAATGCCGGCGGCGACATGTTCCCCTCGTATGCTGCTAGCACCGGAGTTGGACATGTGGTAGGGGGTCCATTGGCCGATGGCGAGGCCCAGGGCATCAAGAACGAAGCAACGAAAGGCGCGCTTGGTTGTTTTTTTTTGGTTCCGAGCAAAGCTTCCGAGAAGGCTCTAAGAAAGGGTTCTGAGTGGAGTTCTGGGGGGGGGGTCCGGGGGGGGGGGGTGACTGGACGGAAAGACGACCTGCAAGGTCACGCCATGGATTGTGGGAGCCGGAAGCTTATTGCGCAGCCGGAACAGGGTGAGTTAGGTGTGTCGGCTCCATGCCCGGTTTGCCTGGCCATCAGTGCGAACTTTGCTCGGCTTTCGTTTGTGAGGCCAATCTGACCTTTGAGGATGAAGAAGAAGAGGAGGCGCCAGAGGCAGTACAGCTGCAGCCCCATGTTTCAGTGGATGAGTCAGAGCACAGACCTGGGTCTGCACTGAGGCGCAAAGTCAAGCGAAAGGCCGCAGGGAAGCGGGTGACATGGGTGTGTGTTTGGACTTTTTTAAAAGAATCAACTTGACTGCTTAACCACCGACCTGGTTGGACCCCCTAATTTTGAGAAGCACCCAATGTGCATTGTTGGGCAGCATGTTGATTGGCTGGCCAAGCAACCGCACCATGCTGTAGCCCTTGGCTGACCAGCCACACTGTAGTTTGGCCTTCTCCAAAAATGGATTCGCAGTAGTGACTCGTCAAGGGATCCATGACGACTGTAGCCGCTGTGAAGCAAGAACATCATTTTAGCCGCTCGGGTAGCATTGCCAATCTCCCCTGTAAGCAGCACTTTGCCGAGATTGCAGACCAGGCCAATTGCAGAACCAACGAGTGCACACATGAGCCATGATTTCCGGCAAGCAATTCAGGAAGAAGATGGGGGACTCAAACAGAACAACAGCAATGAACACAAACGGGAGAACATGTCTTTTCCCCACAACTGCCAGGATTTGCAGCAGTTCGCTTTGTGTGGAACCCTGTTCCGTCCATCAATGTGTTGCTCCCGGGTGATGGGCTCCATATGGCCGACGCCTGGGGCCTCACTGTGGATGGCGAATGTGTGGAGCGAGGCGCCTTGGCAGCCGGTGTCGGATGGTTTCTTTGGCGATTGACACGTGTCACCGGACGCCCGAGCTTAGATGTGGCATTTGTGACCATTTGCATCACGGAGAGCTTTCGGGTGCTGTCCACATGCCTGGCCTCCTTGGCTGCTCTGCTGGCGACAACAAATCCGGCCTGCGCCTTCCGGCATGCATTTCAAGCAGGTGTACAGCTTGAGGAGAGGTCTTGCTGTACAGTCTAAGGGTTGTTTGCTCTCTTGAAGCCTGCATCTGCTGCTGCTGATGCGGATGGTGATAATGGTGATCGCTGTGATGACGCTGATCACCGGAATAAATGGTGTCGATGGTGATAGCGGTGGTGATGGTGATGGCGGTGATGTTAGTCGTGGTAA